ATGTGTGTGTATATGTGTGTGTGTGTATATTTGGAAATATATATGGGTGTGTATATGTGTGTATATGTTTGTGTGCACGTGTATATGTGTGTGTGCTTATATGTATGTATGTAATATATATGTGTGTGTGTATGTTTGTGTATGTATATATATATGTATGTGTGTGTGTGTATGTAATATATATGTTTGTGTATATGTGTATATGTGGACATATGTGTGTGTGTGTGTGTGTGTGTGTGAGATCATGCGTCTGTGATATATTTGTGTGTATATATATATATATGTGTGTGTGTATGGAGAAACGTGGACATATATGTGTGTGTGTGTGATATGTCCATGTGTGTACATGTGTGTATGTATATGACCCCCCCAAACCCACCCCCACTTCCTCTTCCCCGCCAGCTGAAGATCTCCTTTGACGACCTGCACACCATGTTTGAGTACCCTTCCGAAAACTCCCTAGAAGGGCAGGAAGTGGAGGAAGAGGAAGAGGAAGCGGAGGAAGAGGAAGAGGAAGAAGAGTACGCCTCCGAGGTGGACCAGGCCCCGCCCCTTCCTGCCGCCAAGAGGAAAGACGCAGGCAAGGCGGATGTTCTCCTTCTTTGTCTTCTACTTCCTCTTCCTGTCTTCTTCCTCTTCCTGTTCTTCTTCTTCCTCTTCTTCTCTTCTTGATCCTCGTCTTCCTCCTCCTCTTCTTCCTCTTCTTCTTCTTCCTCCTATTTGTCTTCTTCCTCTTCTTCTTCTTCCTCTTCTTCTTCCTTGTCTTCTTCTTTTTCCTCTTTTTCTTCCTCTTCTTCTTCCTCTTCTTCTTCTTCCTCCTATTTGTCTTCTTCCTCTTCTTCTTCCTTGTCTTCTTCCTTGTCTTCTTCTTTTTCCTTTTCTTCTTCTTCTTCTGCTTCCTCTTCTTCTTCTTCTTTTTTCTTCCTCCACTGCTTTTTCCTCTTCTTCCTCTTCGTCTTATTCTTTTTCCTCCTCCTATTTTTCATCTTCCTATTCCTCCTTTTCTGCTTCCTCTTCTTCTTCCTCGTGTTCCTCGTCTTCCTCTTCTTCTTCCTCTTCCTCCTTCTATTCTTCTTCCTCTTCTTCCTTCTCCTCCTCTTCTTCCTCTTTGCCGTCGTCTTCCTCTTGTTCTTCTTCTTCCTCTTCTTCCTCCTCTTCCTCTTCTTCTTCCTCTTCCACTGCTTCTTCCTCTTCTTCTACCTCCTCCTCTTCTTCTTTGTCTTCTTCTTCTTTTTCCTCTTCCTCTTCTTTTTCTTCCTCCTCCTCTTCTTCTTTTTCCTCTTCTTCTCCTTCTTTTTCCTCTTCTTCACCTTTTTCCTCTTCCTCCTCTTCCTCCTCTTCTTCCTCCTCCTTCCTCTTCCTCCTCCTCTTCCTCCTCCTCCTCTTCCTCCTCTTCTAACTCCTCCTTCCTCTTCCTCCTCCTCTTCCTCCTCCTTCCTCTTCCTCCTCTTCCTCCTCCTTCCTCTTCCTCCTCTTCTTCCTCCTCTTCCTCCTCTTCCTTCTCCTTCCTCTTCCTCCTCCTTCCTCTTCCTCCTCCTTCCTCTTCTTCCTCTTCCTCCTCTTCCTCCTCCTTCCTCTTCCTCCTCTTCTTCCTCTTCATCTTCTTCCTCCTCTTCCTCTTCTTCCTCCTCTTCCTCCTCCTTCCTCTTCCTCTTCTTCCTCCTCCTTCCTCTTCCTCCTCTTCCTCTTCTTCCTCCTCCTCTTCCTCCTCCTCCTCCTCTTCTTCCTCCTCCTTCCTCTTCCTCCTCTTCCTCCTCCTTCCTCTTCCTCCTCTTTTTCCTCCTTCCTCTTCCTCCTCCTTCCTCTTCTTCCTCCTTCCTCTTCCTCCTCTTCTTCCTCCTTCCTCGTCTTCTTCCTCCTTCCTCTTCCTCTTCTTCCTCCTCCTTCCTCTTCCTTCTCTTCCTCCTCCTTCCTCTTCCTCCTCTTCCTCTTCTTCCTCTTCTTCCTCCTCCTTCCTCTTCCTCTTCTTCTTCCTCCTCTTCCTCTTCTTCCTCCTCCTTCCTCTTCCTCCCCTTCTTCCTCCTTCCTCTTCCTCCTCCTTCCTCTTCTTCCTCCTCTTCCTCCTTCCTCTTCTTCCTCCTTCCTCTTCCTCCTCTTCTTCCTCTTCTCTTCCTCTTCCTCCTCCTCCTTCCTCTTCCTCGTCTTCTTCCTCCTTCGTCTTCTTCCTCCTCCTCCTCCTCCTTCCTCCTCTTCTTCCTCCTTCCTCTGCCTCCTCTTCCTCTTCTTCCTCCTTCCTCTTCTTCTTCTTCTTCCTCCTCCTTCCTCTTCTTCTTCCTCTTCCTCCTCCTCCCTCTTCTTCCTCCTCTTCCTCCTTCCTCTTCCTCCTCTTCTTCCTTCTCCCAGGAAGTCGCATTGACCCAGAGCCTTTTAAAAAATCAAATCGCATTTCCTCCCCAGCTTTCCCCAAAGGCGCCGGGTTCGAGGAAGCGCCTCCGACGGCGGGAACTGTAGCGCCGCCGGGCGCCGATTCGCCCGACGACCACGCCATGGTAATATTAATTTGGCAATATTAATGACAAATTAATCATATTAAGAAGAAGAAGCTTGATTGTTTATTATGATGATGATTATTTATTATTATTATTATTATTATTATTATTTATTAGACTGATTTCTTGCGAGATTTCCAGGGTTATACATCGCCTTATTAGACTTATTTATTTATTATTATTATTATTATTATTACTATTACTTATTATTATCTGCCCTGAACTTCTTTTGTGATACTTATTATTGTTGTTATTATTATTATTATTATTACTTGTATCCGGCCCTTCATGAGATAAACATATTATTAATAATCGTCATAATCATCATTATCACTATTATTATTATCACTATTACCACTATTGTTGTTGTTATCATCATCATCTTCACTATTATTATTATTATTAATCAGATTATTCAGATTTGTACCCAACCCTTCATGCGAAACCCACATTATTATCCTGAATTATTATTATTAATAATTATTATTATTATTAATATTATTGTATTTTAATCCCATTATTATCACTATTATTATTGTTAACATCATTATTATTATTATTATTATTATTATCATCATCATCACTATTATTGTTATCATTATCATTGTCACTATAATGATTATTCTCGCCATTATCACTATTGTTACCATCATTATTGTCATTATCACTATTATCACTATTATCACTATTGTTGTTATCATCATCTTCACTATTATTATTATTATTATTAATCAGATTATTCAGATTTGTACCCAACCCTTCATGCGAAACCCACATTATTTTCCTGAATTATTATTATTATTATTATTATTATTATTTATTAATATTATTGTATTTTTAATCCAATTATTATCATCACTATTATTATTGTTAACAACAACATTATTATTATTATTATCATCATCACCACTATCATTCTCATCCTTATCACTATTGTTATCACCAGTATTATTTATTATTTTATTATTATTATTATTATTATTATTATTATTATTACTTATTATTATTATTATTAATATTATTGTATTTTTAATCCAATTATTATCATCACTATTATTATTGTTAACAACAACATTATTATTATTATTATTATTATCATCATCACCACTATCATTCTCATCATTATCACTATTGTTATCACCAGTATTATTTATTATTTTATTATTATTATTATTATTACTTATTATTATTATTATTAATATTATTGTATTTTTAATCCAATTATTATCATCACTATTATTATTGTTAACAACAACATTATTATTATTATTATCATCATCACCACTATCATTCTCATCCTTATCACTATTGTTATCATCATTAGTATTTATTATTATTATTTTATTATTATTACTTATTACTTATTATTATTATTATTAATATTTTTGTATTTTTAATCCAATTTTTCGACCCCACAGCTCACCCCGGCCGGCGCCGGCGCCCGGTCCGACTTCGGCAGCGAACCGGCCCTCTACTTCTGAGCCCCCGAAATCGCCCCAAAATTGGGATTATTATTATTATTTTATATTATTATTATTATTAATTATTATTATTATTACTACTATTACTGATGGATACAGTGATCAAAAGAGCTGAATATTATTATTATTATTATTATTATTATTATTACTATTACTGATGGGTACAGTGATCAAAAGAGTTGAATATTATTATTATTATTATTATTACTATTACTGATGGATACAGTGATCAAAAGAGCTGAATATTATTATTATGATTATTATTAGTGGAAAGTGTGATTGAAGGAGCAGAATATTATTATTATTATTATTATTATTATTATTATTATTGATGGGAACTGTGATCCAAAGAGCTGATTTCTATTATTATTATTATTATTATTATTATTATTACTATTTATGGGAACTGTGATCAAAAAAGCTGATTACTATTATTATTATTATTATTATTATTATTACTATTTATGGGAACTGTGATCAAAAAAGCTGATTACTATTATTATTATTATTATTATTATTATCATTATTATTACTGATGGATACGGTGATCAAAAGAGCTGAATATTATTATTATTATGATTATTATTAATGGAAAGTGTGATTGAAGGAGCAGAATATTATTCTTATTCTTATTCTTATTATTGTTATTATTGATGGGAACTGGGATCCAAAGAGCTGATTACTATTATTATTATTATTATTATTATTGATGGATACGGTGATCAAAAGAGCTGAATATTATTATGATGATTATTATTAATGGAAAGTGTGATTGAAGGAGCAGAATAATATTATTATTATTATTATTATTATTATTATTATTATCAAAAGAGCTGAATATTATGATGATGATGATTATTATTATTAATGGAAAGTGTGATTGAAGGAGCAGAATATTATTATTATTATTATTATTATTATTATTGATGGATACGGTGATCAAAAGAGCTGAATATTATTATTATGATTATTATTACTATTACTGACTGATACAGTGATCAAAAGAGCTGAATATTATTATTATGATTAT